TAATTCTTGTGTTCGTGTTCTCAGGTAGCGCTGGTGTACGGTCAAATGAACGAGCCCCCAGGCGCCCGTGCCAGAGTTGCTCTTACCGGTTTGACTGTTGCTGAATACTTCCGTGATCAGGAGGGACAGGATGTGCTTCTCTTTATTGACAACATCTTTAGGTTCACCCAGGCCGGATCAGAGGTATGCAATGTCTAATATATGACATATTATAGAATATATTTTTTTGTTTTTTTGCAGATTTAATCAACAAAATAACCTTTTATGGACTGAATATTGTATAATTGTTCTTCAGGTGTCTGCCCTGCTGGGTCGTATCCCCTCTGCTGTGGGTTACCAGCCCACCTTGGCCACCGATATGGGGACCATGCAGGAGAGAATTACCACCACCAAGAAGGGCTCCATCACCTCAGTACAAGTGAGACCACACAAGATGCTAATAACGTCAGCGCACACTCCTTTTTAAATAAGTCTTCATATGAAATTCGCTCTGTTTTTTTACAGGCTATTTATGTGCCAGCTGATGACTTAACTGACCCCGCTCCTGCCACAACTTTTGCTCACTTGGACGCCACAACTGTGCTGTCCCGTGCTATTGCCGAGCTCGGTATCTATCCTGCTGTGGACCCCCTAGATTCCACCTCCCGTATCATGGACCCCAACATCGTCGGGGCTGAACACTACGACGTTGCTCGTGGCGTGCAGAAGATTCTTCAGGCAAGCCTCATGTTGGATGCTGTTGAATCTTGTTAACCATATCCACAATCCAAAAGCTAAACTGAAACCTTGTCGTCTTTTTTTCCCCCCCAGGACTATAAATCATTGCAGGACATCATTGCCATCCTGGGTATGGATGAATTGTCTGAGGAAGATAAGCTGACTGTAGCTCGCGCTCGTAAGATCCAGCGTTTCTTGTCGCAGCCTTTCCAGGTAGCAGAAGTCTTCACTGGCCACATGGGGAAGTTGGTGCCTCTTAAGGAAACGATCAAAGGCTTCCAGAGCATTCTCGGAGGTAGAGTGCTGCGCCGACGTTGTTGAATTTGTAAATGACCTTAATGGACATTTGATGGTTATTCTTTTCTCTCTTCAAGGTGAATACGATGCCCTGCCAGAGCAAGCTTTCTACATGGTGGGTCCCATCGAAGAAGTAGTCCAGAAGGCCGAGAAACTGGCAGAGGAGCATTCTTAAGTGATTTGTCTGTAAGGTTTTATGAGAAACATTTGTACAGTATAATTTCTATTTGAGGAACTTCTAACATGTCATGCTAAGTATGTTGTGTTGTTCTATTTCTCATGAAAGGTGAAATAAAAATTATGTTGTGATATATAAATTATCAGTGAGCAAACCTTCTTTGTGAAAATTATTTATTTTAATGAAAACGCACAGTGTGAGAATTAGCCGATCATGTGGCGCAGTGTCTTATTCAACTCCTTTTCTTGTACGAGGAGGTTGTTGCTGTGTTCTTTGAAGGCTTCAAAATCCTGTAAAATAATGACAGAAGAAAAGATGTTGAGGCTCTCAGCCCTCTGTTGGCCACTGTCAGTGACTTAACTATTCAATATCGCAGATTTCAACAAACCTTTTGGAACTTCACATATTTTGTCGTGGATTCTTCGAGAGCAGACTTGAGAGATTTCACTTTCTCATCCGCATTGACGGCTTCAGCTTCCCGTTCAAACCTAAAAGGACGGGACAGATACAGACGTGGACAACCATTGTTATACAAAGCAGCATTATGTTGCTGGTGCACAATTTACCTGTCCTCCGCTTCGGCCCGGGCTTTTTTCTCTTCTTTCCATTTTGTCTCCAGCTGCTGGATTTCTTCTTGTTTCTCCTGTATTTAAGACCAATTCGTGTGGTTATGAAGTGAATTGGTTCACCTGTGCAGATCTGTGATTTTAGTCAGGAGAACAAATCCTCTTTTCAGTCACCTGTATTGCTTTCCCTCTGTCCATAGACAGATGCAATAACCTGTCCTTCTCTTTGGTGAGGCTTGTTATGCTTTCTGTCAGGTGGATTTTGTCCAAAGCGTGCTCTTCTTCAGCCTTTTCTAGCTGCAGCTTAAGGTCTGATTGTGGGAAGAAGGCCTAAAGTTTACACATGCTTGTATTTTGTTACACTAAGGAGAATCATAAAAACATTCACTACACACCTTTGCACATCTTCACAGCGCCTCTTTGCTGTTGTTGAGTTTCATGTAATTGTTCGGTTAGTGATGCTTCCTTGGCTTGATGCAGAGTCGCTTGTTCCAGGAGTTTTGACTGGCATCCAGCTAATTTCTCTCTTTAACACAGATGTAAAAAAACAGCATCAAAATCATCAATATTAATGTGAAATGTAAATAATAAACAGCTAGGACAGATTATTTTATTATTTTATTGATCTGTGGAGACGTTTTTCAATAACGGGACTAAACCTTTGGAATAATAGAAACAGCAGTGAATGTTTAGCGGTTTTACTGGATGAGATGAAACGATCAAACTTGCTGTCGATGGATCAATACATTGATCTTTAACATAGACTCATCTTCTTACCGATACTCATTTTCCTTATTTGTGTATTTCTCTGTCAGCTGTTGGATTTCTTGCAGCAGGTTTTGAACAAACACTTCTTTATCTTGTAACTTTTGGGAGAAAAGTGTGTCGTTTTCTGACTGCAGCTGTTTGTTCTCCAGCTTTAAATGGGCATTCTGAGTTTTGTACTCGTCCATGAAAGCAATAATCGCTTTATTGTTGGCAGCCAAATCCATGAATCTCCTCTCTAGTAGCTCTATTGTCTTTCTTTTGCTGTCCACTTCTTTCTTGTAGTCTGTTACTTGGCCCTCCAGCTCCGTATTGATTTTTTGCAGGGCTTGACACCGAAGAAGCAGCTCATCTGCTCTCTGTTTCAGTATGCAGATCAGACTTGACTGTTCATCTATTCTGGACCGCAGCATCTCTTTTGTATCCTCTGTAGAAAGGATCCGAAGCTTCTCCAGTGACTTCTGAATACTGTCCACGTGCTAGGAAGAAGGGGACAAAAATCTGTGTTAAAACATGACAGTGTTTAGAAGTTTTTGGCAGCAAGTTATTCTGTGTATGGACGAGGGCCAGGAACCGAAAGACACATTTTATACTTTTTACACGCAAAATTGTTTGGTTATTTCTGTGCTTGCAATTTATTTTGGTCCAATTACCAACACCGATATATCTACAGTAAGGTCATATCGACTAATATATTGGCCTGGTTGATTAATGATTGAGTTTGGACCATTGACTGTACTGTATACTGCTGTATACCATCATATAGGACACAAG